TATTAAGGAAATATACGCTAAACGTATCTCTAGCTACCTGATAAATATCGTGGAAACTTATTTCCTAGGTCGAGCTTTACAAATATATAGACATAAAATAAGGGACATGTGTCCAGGGGTACCCCAGGAATCAGTGTTGGGACCCCCTCTATGGAAAATATTTTATGGCGTATTGAATCTTTCACTACCGGAGGGTGTAAAATGTAATGCCGATGACCTGGCAATCATGGCGCAGGCGAATCATAGAAAACTGCAAATCGTGATTAACGGAGCACCGGTGAAAATAGATGAACGGATTGCAGCAGCAAAAAACCTGCTCTGGCTCCTCACAAAATGGAAGCGATTATCCTGAAAGGCCGGCGTAAAAGAGATACACCTAATCTTCAAATTAATTAATGACTGTAAGCTAATGTATAGTGGGTTCAAGTTTAAGAAACCTTAGCTTTAGGACCTGAGGTGTATTAATCTTTAACTTTGGCGGAAAGTGGAAAAAATAAAAATACGACGAAAAAATGAGAATTAGGAAAAATGGAGGATGAAGAAACAAATAACATAATACAATATTACTATGCAAGCTAGTAAAGGGTTTTTCAATAGCTATGTATGTCCGAAATTTGGCAACATCTTGCTCTGACGATTCAGGTGGCTCGGCTATCATTCCTCGAAGTTTGTGTTGTGTCATAGTCACCATTTTACCATGTAGCGCTACACTGTGCAAGAACGCGTCGCAATTGTTAAAATATATTCGTCAAACTTCGCGAGCTACGAAATACTCGTATTTACGGCCGAAATCATCGTCCAACGGAGCGAATAATTATCGCCAAATTCGAGCGAGACGGTTCGGTAGTTGATCGAGCAGTTCCTGTAAGATGCAGAAACGCGCGGTCGAGCGAGAATGTTGTTGCTGTTGCCGAAAGTGTAGCTGAAGAGCCAAACCTTTCGAATCGTTCACAAGTGATTGGCCTTTCTGCGACCTCGACTTGGAGAATTTTACGAAATGACCAAGCGCGTCGGACTTTCGCTGATTAGGATCTGGAACAGTTGGGAGCGGGTCCAAATTTTGGCAAAAAAATCATTTTCAATGATGAAGCACATTTTTGGTTAAACGCATTCGTGAATAAACAAAATTGTCGGATTTCGGGAGACAGTAATCCCCAACAGGATCAAGAGTTTCGATTGCATCTGGAAAAACTTTGTTTGGTTTTGGTCAGGCGGCATCATTCATATCCCGAAACGAGAATGGCGATACGGTGACTGTCAACGGCGCCCGGTATCAGTCCATGATAACTGACTTTCTATGGCCTCAGTTGGATATGGACCTGAACGACATGTGGTTCCAACAAGACGGCGTAACGTGTCACACATCGGCCATTACATTGCAGTTGATGCAAAAAAGTTTCCAGGTCACGTTATTTCCAGAAGAAGCGATTTGGAATGGCTGCCAAGATCGTGCGACCAACAACAATTCACAAATTGGAGGACATCAAACCATTGGTGAGATCCAGCCCGACTTATGCAGCGGAGTTTTACAAAATTGGGCCTATCGGATGGAGTCCTGTAAACGAAGATGCGGTGGCCATTTGAATGATGTAATTTTTACAACGTAATGGTATTGAATGTACTTTAATACGTAATTAAAGTTTATATGTCGCACACAACTCGTTTTATTCAATTTTAAATTTCAGACAAAAAATCCATTATTAAAAGTCCAATAGAAACTGTTAAATCCAGCACGGTTACAGTAGCGCCGGATCCTAAAAATACAGGGTTTCAAATAGAAAAATTAAAAGTTGTAGATAGGCATTATGTGTCATTATGAAAAAATTTAGGGGCACAAAGCCTTACGTTTTACCCAGGTGGACAACACCCAAAACTATTTCTAAAAAAATTGGAAAAGTATTTCGAGGATGCTGATACGGCGAAAGTGGGCTTAGCAACCAATTGTGTACGGTCATCTACCACAGATTGGTATACCAATAAGGAAGGTAAATTCGTAAATTACGGAACTGTCAAAGATTTCTTTTTGAGACGTAAACTGGAGGGAAGAACAGAAACGAGAACATTTTCGTTTTACCTTTTAAGTACGATAAATATCGCAATGGTACTCGTGCTGATTAAAATGACCGGTATGGCAGCTTTTCTATCGGGCCCAATCACGGAAAAAGAGCTTGTTAGGATTTGCGAAATATATAAGGAGAGGGGTTGTAGTTTCGGGATTTTCGACATTAGATGAGTTTTTAGGATTACATGAGGATGGTCGATGAAACCAAGACGCTGGAAGATAATCGGGATAGGAGAGAGGAGGTAATAGCGCCCGAGAAAATTAGTAGAGAAAGGAATCTAAAGCTACTACACACAGTGCCGGCGGCAATGCCGCCGGGTTTATGTCGAGCGGCTGTGCCGTCGGCAATACAAGCCGCCGGCGCCGGCACAAGCACAAAATGAATAAGAAAATCATCAGCACAGCCGCCGCAGTTGTAATTTTTATTTTAATAAGAAAAAAATACAAAAGGACGAGAAGGTTTTGGTTGCACCCAAGTTTACAAAATATAAAATGGCGGAACGGTACTGTAATGATAGAAGAGTATAAAAAAGATGATGTGGGGTGTCAGCGTTTGCGCAATAGCATGTTTTTTGGGGTTCTGTACATCGTCTATGCCTGCACCAGATTTGTGCAACTGTTCGAACCTCTTTTTTCCCGAAAATAATGAGAGGTTACATTTTTTAACTTTCTGTCTACTTCGCCTTTATCAATGTCAAATACACTTGCAATTATGTTCAATGCGTCCATTCGATTGTTCCTATTCTTATAGTCTGCATTTCTGGGATTCCATAATATATCATTTTCATGAAATTTTTCAATTAGGAGCAGCACAGCTTCGTCGTCCCAATTAAACGACATTTTAATTTGTTTAAACACACAAACCGCACAACACTACCGCTCGAATGCCAGGAACGAAGTGACGCCGGCAAGCCGCGTAACCCGGCGGCATTGCCGGCGGCTCCTTTGCGCGGCAAGGCCGGCGGCTTTGTATGCCGCCGGGTGTACGGAGGCTTAGGCTAAGCACATAGTGGAGCGGAGAGCAAAGCAGCGATGAGAGCGGCGAGCAAAGCAGCGAAATCAAGTTACGTTTTGCACCTTTCTGTGCATACGCCCGACGCCGCCCTTTATGCGGCGATCCGCGATGGGGGTCTGGGGATCCAGCAACTAAGGCTGAATGTTCCTCTGGTGTTTCTTAGCAGACTTGTTAAACTGCTTGATCTCAACGAAGATCGGGCGCTGATGGCGGCGCTGCAGAGTGACTGCACGCGCGAACTCATGCACAGGTTGGAGGGCCTAGCGGGGGAAGTCTATGCTGTCCAGCTATGGCGAGAGCGGCTGGCGACATCCCCATTACTGTCGGGGATGGAAAACTCTTCAGACGACGCAGCCAGCCGCTCTAGGCTTCAGGAGAAGCCCAAGGGCTGGACAGGTAGGGACTTCGTCCGCGCGGTCCAGTTACGTACCAACAATCTTCCAACCGCTGGCACAATATACGCCTCTGCGGCGAGCCAGATGTGCCGTGCAGGATGTTCGCGGGTGGAGTCTCTCTGCCACGTCCTCCAACAGTGCCCCAGCACCCACTGGGAACGAATTAGGCGACACAATGAGGTGGCAAAGAAGGTCGCTAGGCACTGCCGAACTAAGGGATGGACGACTATGGAGGAGCCCTACGTTCGCCACAGGAACGGGACTCTTTTCAAGCCAGACATGGCTATCATGAGGGGAGACCGCGTCGTTGTGGCGGACGTGGGGGTCAACTGGGAAGGTAACATCCCTCTACAACAAATTTAGAACAACAAAAAGGCGGTGTACGACAACGCCAAGTTCCTCGAGGCTGCTCGAGAGTTATGGCCGAACAAACCAATCAAGTTCACGCCATAATTCTTGGGGCTCGGGGAATTTGGCCTCGATGTAATGAGGCTTCGTCTGTACTATCTCTCGGCGCGCCCCTTCGTCGCTCCTGTGTACAATCGGTGCTGAAGTGGGGCGGCAGCATACATGCCGCCTTCGGGCGCCGGGTGTGGCGGCGCCGTACGCCGGCTGCAGTGCGTTAGGTGTCTGTCGTCTCCCTCGCCTGCGAATGCTTCATGGTGTGGGCTGTACGCCCTCTGCAAGGCTGTGGTCCGTTCTATACTGCTAAATATATGTGACTGTAATGTTTATTATATTTACTATTTATGTTTATATACACTTCTTGTTGTGCTGTCCATCGTGCCGTACATATACATTGATAGGTTAGGTGCGTGTTCTATATATATATATATATATTTAAGGTGTTGTGGGCCGCGGCCGATATATGTAACTAGATACGTATCTTTATCTAATATGTGTTTGTGTGCTTGTGTTGGCTGCGTCGTAATTTTAATACCCTTATGTATGTGAACCCGTCCCTAATTTATTATTTTAAATATGTGTTAATGTGTCTATTTAACAGTAAGCCTTAAAGCATTCCTCAAATTGTACATTATAGACATCACGTAATGTTACTGTAATTCCAACCCCACAACAACGGGGTACATATATTTATCAATTGAATAAATATTTTACATAGCCAAATGCCTCGTCATCTAATTAGTGACGCGCATGAATGGATTAACGAGATTCCCACTGTCCCTACCACCGACTATAAAGAGAGATAGACCTATCTGTTTACAAAATTTGTAATTTCCAACATTCGAATGTTGTCCTTATTGTATTTTACATAGTTGCCGGATTTCACAGGAAGGTAAACCAAGCAAACGATTGTTGTCGTAGTTCAAAGATATTATATGATATTTTAGCATATAAAAATGACTTCAGACAAAATTTATGTGTCTTGAAATCATAACTCTGGGACGGCGACTATAAATCTAGAACAGTTTTTGTCCGAATATCATAAATAGTTCTAAGAATAATGTACCTACGTCAAAGAATATGTGCGCAATTTGGCAACGCAGGTCAATCTTTACTACGATCCTTAGGGCCCCCGCAGACTGCAGACTTTCTATCGGCCGATAGTTTGGTCGGCTTGTTAATCAGTATGGAGAGTTATGCGTATGCGCACATTACAACGATTCAGTATCGGCCGATAAAAAAGTTTGATGGGCTTCCCGATTTCCTTCAAACTGATCTGTCGGCCAACTGTCGGCCGACTGCTTAATCAGTATTGGCTAACTTCCACGTACGCACACACGACGATTGTTCAATCGGCCGATGGCTCAGTTCGCTCCGGCCATTGACGTTGGACAGTCGTTTCGTGCGTATATTTTTAATATGGCATCGCCAAATTCACAATCGTTGATTGTAGAAACGTCCATCGTACAGTTGATTGAAGAAGTCGAGAAAAGACCTGCGCTTTATAAAAAAACTTTAAAAGAGTACTCCGACGCAAATCTCAAGAAAAAATTGTGGGAGAAAGTTTGTGAAGCAGTTGTTCTTGGTTGGAATCACCTTAATGCCGAGGACAGAACAAACAAAGGTACGTAACGCTTCATGTGAATTTTTATTTATGTACGTAGGTGTAGCTGAATACTTATTACATTTGTTATTACATTAATTACTACATTATTACACTTTGTTATATTGACACGGAATTGCGCCTCCAGGAGAAATAAAATATGTCGACATGTACTGTCGCACGTTATTCATATTATTTCTTCCTCGGTAACAACCGAGTCAAGTTATAGTCAAGTTATCCATGGGACAGCTGTAGAGAGTTTCTGTAAAATTTAGTCCATCTTTGATTCTTACATAATTATGCAGGACACAGCAAGCTTTAATAATTCGGAAACAAAAAGTGATATTGACATCTATTGGTCGGTGAAAAATACGCCATTTGTTAGCGAGAATCCCAAATGTACACTCAACCATTCGTCGAGCTCTTGTATGTCTATAGTTGAAAATTCGTTTGGTGTAGTTTAAATTTCTTTTTGCATATGGACGTAATATGTGATTCCCAAGTCCAAACGCCTCATCCCCTACGACAGAGAATGGAATAACATCCCCGACATCATCATTAGGCAAATGCCTTCCGGAGGGAATATATAATCGATTTTCAGAAAGCCGTTTACCCATTTCTGATCTTTTTAATATTTCCGAATCGCTAGCTGTTCCATAAGAACCAACGTCAATGTATACAAATTTATAATCTGCGTCTGTCCAAGCCATTAACACGCAAGAAAAGAACTTTTTGTAGTTAAAATATGACGAACCGGAATGTTCTGGCTGTATCATCCGTATATGTTTGCCATCTATCGCTCCAATGATGTTTGGAAAATTTGTGCGACTATAGAATTCGTCTGCGATTTTAATCCAGTCGCCTTCTTGTTTGATTGGCATATACAATGGTTGAAGCACATTCCATATTTGCTCACATGTAGTTTTAGTAATGTCTCGTATTGTAGAAGCTCCCATCAGATAATCAAAAGATAATGTATTGAAACTAGCTCCAGTAGCCAGATATCTGTAAAGAAATAAATTATAAATTAATGATATTCCAATATTTTTCAGGTCGCGAGGTGCAAAAAAAATGGGCTAATTTAAGGACTTGCTTTCGTCGAGAATTAAATGCACAAAAAAACACTAAATCGGGACAAGCTGCGACCAAGAGGCGTAAATATGTCTACTTTGAACAGTTATTATTTTTACTCCCATGCATGGAAAACCGACGTACTGAAGGTAATCTGGAGGAGGACAATTCTCAAGAAAATGATGAGGATGATGAGCAAGCTGGACCATCTGCTTCCACCCCTATTCGTCAGCGGAAGAAGAGGCCTAATGTATCGAAGCATACGGACTTGGATGAAGCATTATTAAAATCATTAAATGCGACTAATGCTGATGAAGATGTAAACTTTGCTTTGTCTCTAGTCCCTTCACTCCAAAATTTAACCGCAGAAGAAAAACTGGATGCTAAAATAGGTATTCTGAACGTGTTTAAACAGATAAGACTAGCTAGGTGTGTTCAATCTACTCAGCCAACATATAGGTACAACACAGTACAGCAACCTATGTCCTCTTTTCCTCTTTATCGAGGGACTAACAACATGCCACCACAACAACAATCACAGGCTTATACAACTAGGTCTACACCATCCCCCAATTTACCACCCACAACCATTCAAAACATTTCATCACCAGGCAACTCCAACGAGACAGTCCAGTCTTATTATTCAAATTTTTCAACTAATTCGCAAATATACGATTTGTAAACAACTTAATCTCTCAAAATACCGAATTTTGTAGTTTGCATTCTAATAAAAATAATTGAAAAGTATTTGTGGTTTATCTTACCTTATCGTAACGCTCAATCTCTCCTCCACAGGTATAGAAAGCCTTAAATTTGTATCCTCCTTCGCTATTGCTGGTCCAATTAGCTTGACAAGTTCATTGAAGCTGGTTATGCTCATTCGATAAAAGGCAAAAAATTTTCTCGGATAATCCAGTAATTTGGAATGCATTGTGTAAAATTTTCCAGCAACTAATCTATCACTGAGAATGGGATGCACCCAGTACTCTCGGAATCTTTTCTTGATTTTCCTCCTACGTTGTATCAGAGCAATAATAACATTTCTGGACAATATTGTATTTACTTTCATTGTGCGACAGCTACTTCAACAGTCAGATACAAACTAGTGAATCGTAAATAGCTTAAGAATCATCGGCCGACTGTTGGCTAGTATGCGCACTCTCCACCAACCAAACTGTTTAGTTGGCTCGGCGTGCGCACTGGCAGCCCAACCCGACTAAACTATCGGCCGATAGAAATCTGCAGTCTGCGGGGGCCCTTACTACCTGACTTCACTCATATTTTGGGATGTTTTGAGTTTGTACCGGTTTGTGCGTCGTTTTGCGAATTCTGTTTTAGTGCATTTAGAGCTCCCGCAGACTTCCAATTTCAGGTTGGCCAACTAAATTGCACTGTAAAGCAATAGAACAGTAACTTAATGATAGCGCGCACATCTTATCCAATTAAATCGTCCAACTAATTAATTGGACACCGATCGTATCAGAACCAAGATTCCCACTCAATTAAAATGTTGTCCAACTATCGGCCGACTGTTTATTAGCCACTATAGCCTATGCAAGCCCGCCGACTATCCAACTTAGTTGGTCAGTCGCACGGCAAAATGCAAGAGGACCACATGCGTGCGCGTGATTCTCCGTCGCCGCCGCCGGCCCCCCGATCATTTATTGCAAATGAAAAAGTGGAAGAGCTCATAGATGAAGTGTCAAAAAGGCCAGCGCTATACAAAAAAGATATGAAGCAATACTCTGACATTAATGTTAAAAAAAAATTATGGGAGGAAGTGTGCGAAGCACTAATAAGCAATTGGGGAAAACTCAGTGCGAATGAAAGAAAAGATCAAGGTGAGTCAAAAGTTTATTTTATGTTCTTTTACTTTATCATATTGAAACGGAACAGATCCATGGGGTTGAACAAAATAAGATGTCAGATACTGCCGAACATTTACACCGTTTGTGATATTGCTTCCCCTATTGTTTTCTGAGTGATGATATCCATCCAGGACATTCGTACAAAGAATCCTTAAAAGTTATTCCGTCTTTTGATCGAACGTAGTTGTGTAGAATACATGCTGCCTTTATAATCTTAACGGCAAAATTTATATGGACATTTATAGGACGATGAAATATACGCCACTTATTTGCCAAAATGCCGAACGTGCATTCCACTAATCGACGTGCTCGAGTATGTCTGTAGTTAAATATACGTTTTGCGTAGTTCAAATTTTTAGTACGGACGTAATATGTGACTTGAAAGACCAAATGCTTCATCACCGACAACGCAAAATGGCATGACAGGCCCGTTATCTTCATTAGGGAAGGGTTTTCCACTGGGAATGTTAAGTTTGTTTTCAATTAACATCTTGCCCATCTGTGATGACTGAAATATCTCAGAATCAATACTGCTTCCGTAGGAACCTACATAAATACGGACAAACTTGTAGTCAGCATCGGTCCAAGCCATCAAAACGCAAGAAAAAAATTTCTTGTAGTTAAAAAATGAAGTTCCAGATTTTTGCGGTTGAATGATTCGTATGTGTTTCCCATCTATCGCTCCTATGACGTTTGGAAAGTTTGTACGTTCATAGAACTCATTAGCAATTTGAATCCAATCTTCTTCAGTCTTTTCAGGCATATATTGGGAATGAAGTACATTCCATATTTGCTCACAAGTAGATTTCACTATATCTCTGATTGTAGATTCACCAATTAAGTAGTCAAACGAAAGTTGAGACAAGTATGCCCCTGTTGCTAAATACCTGCAACAAAAACATTTATAATTACAAACAGTTTATCGCAACAAAATATATGTTGTGGACGTTGTTTTGAAATAAAATCACCTGTATTAAGGTGTTCCAACACGGACAAACAGTTTGACCCAAACATGTAGTTTTCTACATTCTCTCTGGCAGTTTCCACGCAGTTTATGATAGTTCACAAACATTAATTCAGTCATTCATGTGTGACTGGGATGAAATATACAGAAGCATACGCAAGTGAGTGAACGCGCATCAACAAATGCCCTAGAGAACAAAGGAAACTACGTGTTTGATCAAACCGATTCGACCGTGTCGAAACACCATTAGTGTTAATTATGAAATTAATAAAATTATTCCCAATAACTATTTTTTTTTTAGGTCATGACATCAAAAAAAAAAAAAATGGAACAATTTGCGGAGCTGCTTCGCTAGAGAACTTAAAGCTCAAAAGTCTGTTAAATCTGGACAAGCAGCTCCTAAACGACGACCATATGTTTACTTTGAGCGCATGTTGTTTTTGGCCCCTTGTATGCAATCACGGGCTACTGAAGGCAGTATTGAAAGTGAATCAAACCAAGATGACGCTGATTTATCAGAAGAAGCACAATCACAGCCGCAACGAAAACGAAAAACTAAACAAAGCGACTATGATGAACAAGTATTAAAGGCGCTTCAATCTAATGAAGACGACGATACTAATTATTGCTTATGAAAGAGCTGACGTCTGACGAAAAATTAGAAGTGCGTATAAGAATTTTACAAATATTCCAAGGTACGAAGAAGAAAAGATTATTGCCAAATACAATGTATAACATTCAGCCTAGCACTTCACAATTTTCTAGAAGCTCCCGTCCGCCTAAGCGGGTTGCCCCTTCAACTTCCATTCGGATTATTGCTGATGAAATTATTCAGCCAAAACCAGTCCAATCCAAAAATCAGGCAATTTTTTCACAGCATATGACAGACCTTCAACAGCAATATATCACAGAGCCACAGGAAACAGTACCATCTTTTCTACAGCTTTCAAGTCCGTCTGCGGAAAGTCAAACACCACCTCCGCAATGTTCAACTCCATCTCCACATGATAGTACCATTTCTTCATATTGGGCAAAATTCTCAAGCAGTCAGATTCAGAACTTATTGATTTGTAAAAGAAAAAAATACTAATTAGTCTTTAATTTTGATTAAAAGAACAACATTTTGATTATAAGTAAAACATTTTGAATATAAGTAAAACATTAATAAAAAATATATCGATAAATGAGATGTATTTGTAATAAAGTGTATAGGTACCTACCGAAGTGTTAAGCCAACTCTCTCTTGAACAGTGATGGCAAGTCGGAAAGTCGTGTCCTGTTTGATAATTGCTGGCCCGATTTGATGCACAAGTTCATCAAAAGAAGAAATACTCATTCGGTAGAATTTAAAGAACCTTTCTGGGTAACATCTTAGTTTAGAATGCAATGTATGATGTTGCCCATACACTAATCTGTCACTTATTAAAGGATGTACCCAGAATTCTCTCTTTTGTTTTCGTCTTCTCTTTAATATAAGAGCAAGTAGAGCGTTCTTTTTTTCTCATTTTCACGCACACTTCACTATACTAGCAACACTGTCACCGACTAAATCAATAGGTCTGCGACTGGCAACCAACTCAATATAGTTGCCCGATTCAATTGTAAAAGTACGCAATTTAATTGTTCGATAGTTGGCCAACCTGAAATTGGAAGTCTGCGGGAGCTCTTAAACTATCCAAAACTATTATTTGATAACGATCATGGTGCGCCAGTGCTGTATTTGCAAGATATACACTCGTCAGCGTGAAGCAGAAGGCTTATCTTTTCATCGGTAAGTGAAAATAAAAATGTTAGGTTAGAAAGTTCAGTGGCGTGGGGACGCATTCTCGATATCCGATAGTTTAATGTTTTTACAATGAATGAGCATTTTAAAGCACTTCCGTAATCTTTTAGGATGCTTAATGAACCTACAAGAAGATCTATTTGGGTATCTCTTCTGGGATTTGAGAAAGACCACCAGTTCCCAAAGTATGCTTACGTCTGTTCCAAACACTTTCAGAAAAGTGATTTTGTAATTATGCCTGATGGAGCTAGGCATCTCAAATGCGATGCTGATCCAACTGCTGTGCATTCTGCCTTTGATCTCACAAAGAGCGCCAGGTAATATTATAATAGTAATTAGGGGTAAAAATGATAGCTTAAGCATGATATCACAACCAAAATTTGGGGCAACAAAAACATTTTACTTTGCTCTAGTTATGAGGTTGCATTTTATGAAAATATACTTTTCTGCACACGCCCTTGTATTTAAAATTTCACCTTGCTGATACATATTTAGATGCATATTATTTTTTTATTAGTTATGTATCAGCTATCATTTAAGGAGCACATAATTAATAATTATCTACCTGATATTATGTGGATATATGATTAAATTATATTTATTTATTTTAGTTCAGAGTCATCGCTTAGTCTCAGCTCTTTTAGTAGTCCTGGCAAGGAACAAATAGGAGTTTCCTCAAGCTCAAAGCCTCATTCAGAAATTGACATTCTGGGTATTACCGCCACTTCAGCAGATGGTGGCCCTGTTGTAAAACGGTTAGTATATGTTTAGGTATGTTTAATATTTAGGGATGACAACAATACATGGATCATAGAATATTGATGTTTTGGCATGGATGGTTATATGTCAATGTATTGATGCATCGATGGTTATATGTAGATGTATTGATGCATCAATGGCTGTATGTCGATGGAATGAGGCATCAATAGATTTTATCAATGATTGATATCCATTACATATACATGTATTTCTTTTGAAGCTTGAGATTTGAAGACATTGTTGCTGATGTGAAATCCGTTACAGCTACAGAGACCAAAGAACAGCTACAGATTCAAGAAAAGCACAGGTAATTTTAAATTTAAAAAAAAATATTTTGTATCTATTCGTATTAGCAATTTTGTATCATATCACTATATTCTTTTGCATTTTAAATGACTAGGAAAAATATTAACAGCATATATCTTTTTGAAGGTTAGAACATGAAAATGTGTACCCGGGACCATCTAGAGAGCTACCATCTTATCCAGCAGTTGCTAATTCAAGTTCATCAGATACGACTACTGCATCAGAGGCTAAAGAACAGCTGGACTCTGTAGCAATGCCTGCCCCTACATCTGATTTTCACACGAAACCAGTTGCAGGACTGAAGAGAAAGAGGTAAAAGATTTTTTTAGATTTTTAAAATAAACACTACTACCAGATATTTTAAAACCATTTTGGGCTCAGTAATAACATTGTTAATGGATTGCTTTTTAACCGACATTTTTATATCATAAGAGTCGATCAGCGGACAATGGACAAAAGGAAAGCCGAATCAAAAATCAGATTTTAAATGTGTATCGCCTCCTCTTTGATGTCATGTTGGACTGAATTTTATCTGAAATTAAAATTGTTATCGATATCATATTATTTTATTCTTTTAGGAAGAGCCGTTATGTTGGTGATATGTCGAGTGATGATTTCTCCTCACCTGTAAGAGCAAAAAGAAACTTTTGCATAATGAAAAATGTAATACAGGCCCAGAGAAGAATTCATGGACTTCGAGTCACAGTTAACTCACTCAGGAAGAGAGTAAGGACACTAAATAGCCTTATTAGTGTTTTAAAGAAAAAGTCTTACATAAGTGACTCATCTGAAAATGTTTTGAGGGTAATAATTTTAACTATGCTACCCACATATTCGATATCTAAAATAAGTCTGTTTCAGGCAACGTTATCCGGCTCATCTCTTAAAATTTTTGAGAGAATGTTACGTTAACATTACATCACAGAAGTATGACCCTTCAATAAGGACTTTTGCATTAACTTTAGCTTTTTATTCGCCTAACAGCTTATAATTTTGTCAGGAACACGTTCAATAAATCACTGCCTCATCTAAGCACTATCAGTAAATGATATAGATCGGTTGATGGTTCCCCGGCTTCACCCAAGAAGCACTGCAGGCTTTGAAAATAAAACATGAATACGCTTGGTCACAAGGTAAGGCAGTCTACTGCAATTTGGTCTTAGATGAGATGTCCATCCGTCGCCAAGTGGAATGGACAGGCAGTAAATTCTCTGGGTATATAGATATTGGCTCAAAGATCGACTCGGACATTTTACCTGAAGCAAAAGAAGCTTTGTTTGAACGGCTCATGGAAAATACCAGTAGGCTATATCTTTTTAGATGGTCTTAGTGGAAAAGAAAAGGCTGAGATTGTCAAAAAATGTCTGTCTTTTATTCACGAATCTGGTGTTATAGTGACGTCACTAACATTTGATGGTGCGCCAGTTAATTTTAACATGGCTTCTCATCTAGGAGCTAATTTTGATGTCAGTATTATGAAAACCTGCTTCACCCATCCTGTGACTGGTAGCGATGTATTTATAATTCTAGACCCATGTCACATGATCAAATTAGTGCGAAACACGTTTGGGTCTCAAAAATATTTAATTGATCAAGATGGAAATCAAATAGACTGGAATTTTTTAAGCAAACTGGTAGATACACAATATAGTGAAGGCTTGCACTTAGGCACTAAAATTACTGTTCGCCATCTGCAGTTTGTTAGAGAAAAAATGAAAGTGAAAATAGCTACCCAAACGCTGAGTAAAAGCTTTTCAAAATGCAGAGGCCACAGCTATTTTCATCAAAAAATTCAACGATGTATTTGATATATTCAATTCCAGAAATAAATTGGCCAAATATCAATTTAAAAGACCACTATCACCAGCAACGGCTGAACAATTTTTTAGTTAGGAAGCATTCCAATCATTCAGTCGCCTAGAAAGACTGGCTTTTTAGGCTTTCTTATTTGTATTACCAGTTTGAAGGGTCTATATAATGCATATATTTTAGAAAACAAATTAAAATTCATATTGACGAATAAATTATCACAATACCACTTGGAACTTTTTTTCGGTGCAATAAGAGGGAAAGGCGGATATAATAATAATCCAAGTGCAAGGTACTTTGAAGCAGCCTACAAAAGATTACTCGTCCATACTGAAATAACAGGTCCAAGATCAGGAAATATTTCAGATGGGAATAGTGTAACAATTCTGTCGTGTGGTAGTGGGCGAGAAATTACTGCTACAGATAGTGGAGATGATTTGACAGACAGCAAACAGTATTTAGACTTTGAACAAGACGTCAAAAATAATATATCGACATACATATCATCTTCATCTGCTTGGGACTTGACTGACTATAGCCAAAATGTTGTAGGATATATTTCTGGTTTTGTGGTAAAAACAATGAAAAAATGTGTCACTTGCACAAAATGCAGCAGTGCATTAGAAAGTTCCGAAGTCATTTCTACGTTACAGAGAATTAAAGAATATGGTAAACTTGTAAAAGCCTCTCGATTCGTAATTCAACTATGTACCGCTGCCGAAAAATATTTTAGATTCTTCAACAAAACCACAAATATTTTCAATAAAAATATTCACAATTTATTAGAAACATTGAAAATCAATACGATCAAAACTTTACCACCAGAAATTCTAAGCCATTTTGAGCACCATTTGTTTGATGATGATCCTGTAGATGAGCATGGAGTTCAATTAATAAAACTAATACTCCACCATTATTTCAAATTAAGAATACACCATGGAACTGCTAAAAATATGGACTTATCAGCAAAAACAAGAGTTCGAAGTGTACTAACCAAAACGATTTTATTTAGGCATGAATAATTCTAGAATACAAAAATGTGTATACCACAAAAGTCAAAATACTCTTAATGTAGCGTTTTGTATTATATATTTACAATAATCCAAAATTTTGAATCGGTAAAATCTATAAAATAGTTATCATCTATTCATAATCTAATCATAAAGTTTATTGGTGTGCTAGAATTGCAATAATTCATTTAGATTCTATCAAAATGTACCCTAACTTTGATTAATACTTGTCCTTTTTTCCATTTTAGGAAAAAAGTAAAAGAAGCTTTTGTTAGAGAAATAATTTTTGTATTTCCCCAATTTTTATAGAGAGTCTCATTTAATTAACGTTAGTAAGGTAGGTGCGGGCAATTTCGCCCGGTGGTTAATAACGCCCGCTTTTAAATTTGGCGCTTTGCACTGGATTATTTGAAGCTAACGCAGGTTATAAGGAACATACTCGACTGTAGTAAGACGAAGACAGTGATAGTCGACGCCATTAGCGAGTTTGCGCAGTCAGTTATAACCAAGCATACAAAACAGGTGGTTGTGCGATCCATTTTATAAAATTAGGTGCTGCAAATAAGTAAGTAAATTTGTATTTTAGCATGATAAATGTAATGCTTAAGGTCTATGACAAGCGAATAGCTAATTAGTTCTGCTTGTTAAAATGTGTTTTTTCTTGAATTGGCTTTTTTTGTTGTAAGAAGTGAATCGTGTAATAACGCCCAGCCAAATTCGGGGTGGGCGTTATTAAACAGCCTAAGCGGGCGTTATTAAACAAATGAAAATATGATATTTTTGAACTATTTCAGAAGTGATTAGACATGGAAAAGAAATCGTCAACACCAGCCCGAAAAAGAGGTGTAGGATGGGACGAAGCGAATATGGAGGCAGCCATTCTGTCAGTATCAAGGGGGATCTTAACTCAGAGAGCCGCATCGGAGAGATATGATATTCCCAGAAGAACACTTCGGGATCACCTCAAAACTGGAAAATGCGTTAAAAGATTTGGCCGAAAAGCCGTGCTAAATACAGAACAAGAGAAAGATCTAGTGGAAAGGATTCTGCGTTTGGCCGATATAGGGTTGCCGCTAACCTTGAAAACGTTACGTTTTAATGTTTTCAAGTTCTGTGAAATAAACAACATGCCAAATAATTTCAATACAGAAAGCCAAAGAGCAGGAAAGGATTGGATGAAATCTTTCTTAAAAAGAAACCCGATTGTATAAAAAAGGAAAGCCCAATTTATGAATCAAGCAAGAGCGCAAAAACTGAATAAGTTCATAGTAGAGGACCATTTCCAAAAAATTGGTAACTTATTAGATAAATTGGAGTTAAAGCACAAACCTGAGAAAATTTTCAATATGGATGAGAAAGGTTGCCGTCTGACCCTTCACCATCAACCTACCGTTCTTGCACGAAAAGGTGTGAAAAGGGTTCACCTTATCTCAAATGAACATGCAGAAAATGTTACCGTGGTGGGGTGTGTATCCGCCATTGGTAATCCAATTCCGCCAATGATAATTTTCAAGGGTAAAAGAGTTAAGCCAGAATACTGTGACGATTTACCAACAGGCAGTATAGTAAGGATGTCCCCTAAAGGTTATATGACCACCGAGCTCTTTGTTGATTTTATAAAGCACCTTGCCAGTTTTAAACCACCTGGCAAAGTCCTCTTAGTGTTTGATGGTGCAGCATGTCATTTGGACTTGAGAATAGTTAATGCCGCTGAAGAGCACGATATTACCCTTTATTGTCTACCCTCAAACACAACGCAAGAACTACAGCCGCTCGACAAATCTGTGTATCGATGTTATGAACATCATTGGGATGTAGAGATGCTGAAGTATCAGTCTGAGAATCCAGGCCGAAAAATTAACAAAATCAGCTTCAACAAGATTTTTACCAACGTTTGGTCCAAGTGTATGACCTACTCTAATATAACTAGTGGATTCAGGGCTGTAGGGATTTATCCTTTTAACCCCGATGCCATTCCCGCAACGGCGTTCGCTCCATCTATCCTGACGCAACGTTTACTGCCCGACACCAATAGGCCAGAAGACGTCGACCAGCAACCCTCAACGTCCAAGGGTGTCGGAAAATATTTATTTGCAAGACAAAACGAAAATGCCACCTCACACATAGTGGATTCATCTGATTTGATCAGTAGAATAATTACTTGCTCATGGGAAGAATGCGAGGCACATACACACATATGTATAGTTGATTGTATAGTATGTATATTAGGGTGGAGCGAAAAATTTGTTTTCGTTATATGGCAATCTAATAGCAAAAATATGGTGCGTTTTAGGATCAAATTGAACCATATAAAATATTTTTTGATTTCGTTTACGGTAACTGCCTCCGCAATGTCATTGAAATTCAATTCAAGTCGAAGGAGAATCAGAGATTTGGCAATACTGTGCCACGACCTCAGTGCGCCTGTGCTTTTGTTTTCGCTCGCAACGATCACGTGCCGGCCATATTTAATTATTGTTATTCTTTTAAAACATGCCGAGAACTCGGAGTGTGTTTAAATGTCCTGTTTTGGGTGTTATTTGTGAGTTAAAATACAATGTTCTACCTACTTACGACGATGTTATCAAGTTATATGAATGGACAAGACATCAACGAAAATTGAGGTTAGAAACTGCCAAAGAGCCAGTTTTTGCGGAAATAGCAGATATAGTGACATCCACGATTGAAAATATATGGCAAACTACATCTATTCCTACAGTAACACGAACAAGAATCATACAAATGTTGAAAGCCTATCATTTAAAATACAAAAATCTACTTAAATCTGTGCAAAGAGTATCTGAAGATAAATTAGAGAGATTTCGGCATAGTGGTAGGTTACTTTTTGATATTTCGGCATGCAAATGCAAAGAATTTATTAAGTGCACCTGCCCAAAGGATAAAAAGGTTCCTAAACAAGAACAAGCCTTCCTAATTGATCAAAGAACCTGTCGACATATGATAATCGGTGGAATCGATCCAATCATCACTAAGAAGTTGCAAAGCACTTTAAAACGGAAACATGAACGAGAGAACCGCCAAAATGTATCTTCGAATACGAGTACATCATCGTTGGCTGTTTTAAATGTTAGTACTTCTTCGGAAACGTCATCAATGTCAGATAGAAGCGAATTCGAAGAAGTTACTCAAAAGAAAAGGAAAAAATCCTCACGCATCGATTTTCCGACGCTCTCGAAGACATGTGACAGGTACGGAGTGTCAGATAGGGCTGCAG